GCAGTCGATTTACATTTTTTATCCAATAAAATTTACTTTGTAGGTAAATTTCAAAATTTTTTTAAAAAAAATTCTTATTCCGTCATGAATTATATAAATCGCTTCAATAAAAAATTGTACTATAAATCATAACTAATAAAAAGAATCATATAATTAAATAGAATAAAATATTTACGAGTTGTACGTTTAACATGTTAAATAAGCATACATAATATATATTAAAATAAAATGTAGTACAATATTTTTTAAGTCCTGCTAATCTATTAATTCTAGAATAAATTATACGAAGTTCAGTAGGTAATAAATTCGTATCGAATAAGTTAATTTATCGATAATATAATAATAGTATTAAATACTTTGAATAAAATGACAAAAATACCCTCCAACCATTTCTTTTCCATCTGAATGAAGTGAATCGATTCTTTTTATAATCAAATAATTAATAACTAATCTCAATATAATTAATCATAAAATAACTTATTATCGAACCAAACAAACCTCTTAATATATTTTCTTGCCAACTATATATATATTTTTTTCTTTTATCTTATTATTGAAGGCAGAGAGACAACATTCACCAACTACGTACCTCAAAAGTCAGACTTTCTTCTATTTTTTTTTAATTTAATTTTTTTAATATTTTAAATTTAAACCTTATAATAAAAAAAAAACTTACCTCTTATAAATATGTTCACTCTTCCATTCTACTAGACTTTCTCTCATAACACTAAAATTTGTCCATTTTCTCCTAACACATTTTCTCTCTCCATAACATGTTCATGTGCATTGAAGATCCAAACATAACCATTTGTTCCACTTTTGTCCTTACATAATTTTTTTTATTTTTTTAATATCATGGATCTTGTTAGACTAAAGTATTTTGAATCTTTTTCACATATGAAAAATCATACAATTAGTCCTCCAATTTTTGGTTCACCTATACATTCTTCATCAAATCATGCTGGATTTCCAATTATAGCAGTTGCTATTATTGGAATATTAGCAACTTGTGTTTTACTAGTTAGCTACTACATTTTTGTGATAAAATGTTGTTTGAATTGGCACAGAATTGATCTCTTGAGACGATTTTCGATCTCAAGAAATCGCCGTGTTGAAGACCCTTTAATGATTTACTCACCAGCAGTAGAGAATAGGGGATTAGACGAATCAGTGATTCGTTCAATCCCCGTATTTAAGTACAAGAAAAGGGAAGAAAATTCAAGAATTCATAGTGAATGTGTTGTTTGTTTAAATGAATTTCAAGAAAATGAAAAGCTAAGAGTCATACCAAATTGTGCACATATTTTTCATATTGATTGTATTGATGTTTGGTTACAAAACAATGCAAATTGTCCACTTTGTAGAAATAGTATTTCATCATGTACAACAATTAGTAACACAAAGTTATTGTTGGATCCAATCATTGCTCCAAGTTCAACACCTTATCAAGATCCAAATCTTGAAAATTTTAGAGATGATGATTATGTTGTGATTGAAATATCAAACAATAATCAAGAAAGGTTGATGATGAATAATAATACAGGGGAAACAACAGGGCATTTTTCGCCACGAAAAAAAGAACAACAAAAGGTTTCATCAAGAAAATGTAACAAGTTTAGACATGTAACAAGTATGGGAGATGAGTGTATAAATATGAGGAAGAAAGATGATGAGTTTGATTCAATTCAGCCTATAAGAAGATCATTTTCAATGGATTCAGCGACGGATCGACAACTTTACGTAGCTGTTCAAGAGATTATAATGCAGCAACAAAGGCAAGTGAGTGATGTTAGTCCCTTTGAAAGTAGTAGTAGTAGTAGTAGTAGAGTAAAAAGATCATTTTTTTCATTTGGACATGGAAGGGGATTAAGAAATGTAGTTTTACCTATTCAGTTAGAGTCATAATGAGAAAAAAGATTGATTTTTTCATTGTAATTTTTTGTGTGTAGAATACATAGTTGTTGATATTAAAATAGTTTTAGTATAGAAGTTCAACTTTTCATTCTCTTGATGACTCGAATGTACAATTTAAAAATTGAAGGTGAAGACTGCTTATCATCATCTGAGTTGTTCCTCTTATTGATTTTTAAGATTTTCCTTTTGATTTTTCATATAGGGTCGTTTTGTATGCGGAATAAGGAACTCCATGATTCATTTAGAGTCATAATGAGAAAAAGATTGTTTAGAAAGATAGTTATGAATATTAAAGTAGTTTTGATAGAAAAAGATTGTTTAGAAAGATAGTTATGGATATTAAAGTAGTTTTGATGGAAGTTCAACTTTTCACTCTCACTCGAACCTACAATTCAGAGTTGAAGGTGAAGGTTGCTTTATCATCCGAATTGTTCCTCTTGTTAAACCTCAACTTTCTGTTTTTTAAGATGTTTTTTTAATTTGAATTATTCATGTAGGGTTGTTTGGTATGCGGAATAAGGAGCTCGATATACAATTTGGAATTGTCTTGACCCCATTTTATTAGCTAATCTCGAGATTATTTTGTTTCACTATATTATGACACCTATTGTATAAGATTCACAAGGCAGGACAGGACCACTGATGCAATATGACTCATTTGTTATGATTATAGGCATCATTAGTTAGAACAACTATTCTTCTTTTTGCCTTCTTCTTCCTTTTTTTGTTTGGAGTTTTTTTTTTAATTTTCCAATGACAGCTAACTAAAATGTCCCTTCCCTTAAAATATGGAAATAATTTACAAAGAAGTATCAAAATTGATTCAGATGAAATTCAACAAGGACAGTACCCTTAATTTACATTTGTGGGGTGGGGTGGGGGGTTCCCTTGATGCAAGGTCACAAGTCACAACTATCAACCACCAAATTGCTTCTTTTTTCCCCCCACTCTTTGGGTCAATGTCATGTCTAGTGTAGGTGTAGATTTTAGACCATTAGGTTATGTCTAATTAATATCCAAGATTCAAAGATCAATCATCACGGAGACAGATTCAAGATTTAAATTTTAAGGTTCTTAGCATTGGATATGTTATATTTTCGAACTTATAAGTTCATATCTAATATTTCGCGTCGAAAGTATTTGAGTTCAGATGAATGTGATACCAGTATATTGAATTCGTGAAGATTAATAGTTTTGTCTGACTTTTGATAAACAGAATTACTTGATACCTATATTACTGTGAAGTAGCGAATATCCTATGAAATTAGTTACGTCGCGAACAAAACACACCACGAATTTATTTTTAAACAAGAATAGAAATTTGGGTCATGCATGCACCCAAGTGATGTTGAGTGAAAATTGCCAAAAATATAACTAAAAAAATGTACTACAATCTTCACTTGCATTTTTTTTTGTTTCCATCAAACATGGATTCCTAACACATGAATAGTGGAATAATGGTAGATGGACCATGGCTGTCCATTGAAAATAGAAAATTTTTGAAGACTCTAAGAGTCAAAGAATCCAAAGTCATTGATTTCAAAATTTTTTAGGGATGACAAATTTTCCATTTACAAACAGTGTCTATAGTCAACAAATTAATAAATATATATTTTTAAAAAAATAAAATAATTGTTGTTGATAAATGGATTTTGTTTGGCCCAAACTATTCTGAAAATTGGATCAATGTTTAGTTTTAATAGCCCAGCCTAGTGTTGGGCCAAGTTAAGGTGTCATTTGTTTGCGTAAAGAGAACCTTAAGTATCATCATTTAAATTTTGACCTTGCAAAATAATGGGGTAAGGATAAATGTTTCGCGAAAAATTGGAGTAAAATTTTTGGAGAGTCGTTAGAATTTTTTATTTGATAGTAGGCAAAACTTGTCATAGTAGCAAGTTATGGTAATTATCGGGATATTGTTCACAAGTTGTAAAAGAATCATCACGAATTCAATCACAATTTTTATTTCAATAAAATAAAAATAAAGAATGACCCAAACAAATATACTCCCTATGAAAGAGATGTGGTAAAATTTCACTTGGAAAAAAATAATAATTTACTTTCAACTTTGCTATTTAGAGATTATATATTCTTTTGTACATAATTGACTTATATATATACTATTATCGTTACACAAATAACTAAATATCATTATCTTCGCGAATAGCCTAAATATACCTTTTCTTTTTTAAACAAAACTTAAAAAATGGGCTTTTTAAAATTATTTATTAAAAATTATTCTGGTGGCTATTGCATATCTTTTGACTTTTTTTTTAAAAAAAAATTGAGAAATCAATTAATCACAAGGATAAGACTCATGTTTGTGAACACGTTAAGATGAGTACGTAATCATCACTTGTACTTATCTAAAATGTTTTAATTTTCCATTGGCTAATCTTTAAATTAATCATTATTTTCTTACTCTAAAACTAGAGATTATGTATTTGTAATTGTATTTCTAGTAAATAAATACATGATATATCTACGTTTAAGAAATTTGTTAATCAATGCAATATAGTATATCTAATTACCGTAGAATTAATTAATAGTATTTGATCAAATATACTTTAGAAAAGAATATATAAAGTAATCATTGAAGTAGTTTTGAATTTGTATAAAGATATCTTAACTTTGTAATCGTGCTATTTATTCAGAATTGTTTAGTGTGATAATAAAACGATTACAAAGTTAAAATATTTTTAAAAAGTTCAAGACTAATTCAATGATGACTTAAATATACTATTGTTATAAATACTAAAAATATTTTCCATCATTAAAATATCTTTTCTTTTCCGTGCTTAAACTTAAGAATTTGACATTAAGATTTTTACTTCGATAACAACACTGAATAATTTTGTTATTTTTCTAAATCATTAAAAAATAAACAAATAGGTTTTAATAATGTCAAATGCTATTTACTGAATTTTTTTTTTATCAAACCTTGCTCAATACAAATTTAAAATAATTAAGCTATAATATAATTATTAATATTAATAAAATGGGAATAAAAAAATTAAAGTAGTCTAGATCCAATACAGCTTTGAATATCCATCCGAGGTTAAATTATAACAAGATAGTCTCATTTAATAAAATAAATTTATTTGTTCAATTATTAGGAAATATTTTTAAGTGTCAAAATTGGCTTTAAAACAGTGGCAACTTCCGTGTGTAGCTCAAATTAGTCTCCATTTTTTCCGATCAGTTTCCGATCAACGATGAAGATCATGGTAGCCATCAAACGCGTTGTTGATTACGCCGTCAAAATCCGAGTTAAACCCGACAAGGTACATTTTCACAATTTTTTGGTTAAATTTCAAAAAATTTGAACACTGAATTGACTGGGTATATAGGATTTATACAGTGAACCTAGTTGTATTAGGGTTTAAGGTGTAGTAAATTGATTTTTTTTTTGTTGTTGTTGAATTTTGATTTGAACTGTCAGAGTGGTGTAGAGACGAAAAATGTGAAGATGTCGATGAACCCATTTTGTGAAATAGCTTTGGAAGAAGCTTTGCGGGTGAGAGAATCGGGTTTGGCTTCAGAGGTGGTGGCTGTTAGTATTGGACCAGTTCAGTTTACGGAGACTTTACGAACTGGGTTAGCTATGGGAGCAGACAGGGCAATTCATGTAGAAGCGCCTGAGAATATTTATCCACTAACAATTGCTAAGATTCTTAAAGCTCTTGTTGATGTTGAAAAGCCTGGTCTTCTTTTTCTTGGCAAACAGGTTTGATTTCATTTAAAGATTTGAGCTTTTATTCTGCTTTTGTGTTATGATCTGAATAACTTCCTGTTAGAGCCGAGGCTCTATCGAAAACAGCCTCTCTACATATATATTACCCGGTTTGTTGTTGTTCTGGTGAGCAAGTTCTTATATGCCAGATTACTTTAAAATCCAATGGTGGGTTTTGGATTAATCAGTATGTGTTGCACTTGAGTTATGTGATTGGTTAATTTGTCTTGGGTGTGTGTTTGATATAGCAAAAACTGTTTCTCGTGGATATATGTGAAGATTTTCTCTTAGGGAAGTATGTTTTGGATCATGTCCTCTGTTTGGTTAGGTGTAAAAGTGAGTGGTGTATGCTAATCATACGAGGTGGAAGATAAGGCACGTTGTTAGTGTTTTGATGATATTCTTTAATATGAAAGATTGAGATAGCGTCTAAGAGTTGGTTTAAGCTACTGATATGAAGTAAGAGCTAAAGATGTCTGCACAAGAGAATGAATTCTGTGGATAAGTCATCTCCCCTTTTTGGTGAAAAATATTTTTTTTGATGCAAAATTTCAACAACTAGGGTAATCGAGCCCTGAAAAATGAGTTTATTAAGAAAAAATATAGTTTTGGCCATACCAAGCATGTCCTTAAGGGTTGACTGATGAGGTGTAAATGGATTGTTTTGTGATTTTAGTGGAGTTGCTAGCTATCTGCTTTCTTCATTCTGCTTCAGTTATTCAAACTATTCTTCTTGAGTTTCTATCAGTTTGTTTGTCTAATGTTGTTACTTTTGTGTAGGCAATTGACAATGATCAAAACCAGACAGGTCAAATGGTTGCAGGACTTCTCAAGTGGCCGCAGGGGACATTTGCCTCTAAGGTTGGTATCAGTTCAGCGTAAGGGTGTGCAAACTAGTTAAAGAGATCCAAAAAATTCTGATTCTGCAATCTCTATTTGGTCTAAGTTGGTTTATATTACCTTTACTTTGATATGCCTATTTTGAGTATGCCTTGGACATTGTGTCCAAGTATCCAGGGCTTTCAAACTGATTCTTTCGTTTGTTTTTCTATATCTTCCTCTTGAGCACCTCTTTAATCCATGTGCTCATATTAAATCTAATCAGCCATAACACTATCTCTGTTTACCTTATTATCTCTATCATTTAGCTGTTTGCTTTACAAGACATGTAATCTTTGCCTGATCTCATGCAATCTGTACTTTGTTTCATATCAAAATTATTATAAAACAGTCTGCAATCTTCCAAAGTCCATATTACTGTTTCAATTATGGTTTCTTTGCCATCATGTTCAGTTGGCTTGTTTAGGGCTGCAATCTCACTATGATTTTTGTGTTAGGTTGTTCTCGATAAAGAAAAGCAGGTAGCTACAGTGGACAGAGAAGTTGATGGTGGTATTGAGACATTGTGTTTGGATTTGCCTGCAGTAATCACGTACGTCTCAATCGAGTTATTACAAAGACTTGCATGTTCACGAAGAAAACACCTAGAAGCGTGTCTTCTGGATAAGAAAAAAAATGTGATTGTAGGTCTTTTGGGGCACATCTTAAAACAAATAGGATTTTAACTAGCTTAATCTCAAATTAAAAGGCACTAGCTTCAAGTTTTGTTTATATGATTGCTTTAGTTCTCTGATATTGAGTTATATACATGACAAGTCGTGAAGAGAACCCTCAAACTAAATGTATTATCTGCCACCGTATTTCCCCCTTTGTTCAGTTTCCAAACTTTTTCTGCACCAGAAACAAATACTGCCTTAGTTTGGAAATGTGTACTGTCAAACTGTTAAGTCAGCTTAATTATAAGAATGCAGTTTACTGTTACATTAGTTTATTTCGCAGGTAAATGGTTTGATACAATCCCGGTATAGTCCTTAATGGTTTGGCCTCGCTCTATTCTATTTAACATGCTTATGACATCCATAACATTCTTAATACTGAGAAAAACTATATTCATGTTACCATTCAATATTGAAGTATCAATAGAATTAATCTATTAGTTTTCTAGGAGATTTGTGAAGCAGATCTTTTTATCCATGTAGTGAAGTTTTAAAAAACTAACTTCATTGTTTTCTTAGTGGTATGGGGCCTTGGAGGATCGATCGGTGATAATATTATACCATTAGGTTGATAAATCTAAATCATAGCCAATGACAGGAGATCAGAACTTTACTCAGCTATGAACTTATGTGAAGACCGTCTTTGTGTCCTCTCTGTTCAATGTATTTGTGTTACCTTATTGTGTACTTACGACTTCTTGATTGTGGAAACAGCACTGATCTGAGGCTGAATCAGCCACGATATGCAACACTCCCCAACATAATGAAAGCAAAGTCGAAGCCAATAAAGAAATTCACACTGCAAGACTTGAACGTTGAGATCAGATCTGATTTGGAAGTAGTTGAAGTAACCGAACCTCCCAAAAGGAAATCCGGTGTCATCCTTTCATCCGTGGATGAGCTGATTGACAAGCTGAAGAATGAAGCACGCGTAATTTGAGTACACTAACTATCATTTCCTGAGCCGATTGACGATCTGAAGAAAAATGAAGCACGCGCGATTTGGGTGTGCTTATAGTTTAGCTGCAAATTTCATCTCTTTTACACCAAACTGTTTGTCTTTGTAAACTTTCAATAGTTTGCAATGTTAATAACAGTGATCATATAATGGAAAATATCTCTTATTCTCTTACATTTGGAATGTATTTTCTTGTTTTTTCCCTCCCCTTTTTATTAAAGCTAGAGATTTTTATGTACTACTATTTTCAAGTGAATATTTGGGATTATAAGTTGATATAGGGGTGTGTTCCGTACAAATGAAAATGTTTTTCATAGAAAATAAGTGTTTTTTTTTACTTAATTTGTATTTGCTACGTAATAAAAAAATCTCGTCCTAAAAACGTTTCATATACAAATACTATGGGAGGGTAGGGGTGAAGGTGCGGAGGGTATTGAAGACGCAATCTATAATGGAAAAATTACGTAGCTAAGTAAACTTATATTATTTAATTACTCATCATAGCTATAGTTTACTATAATTACCACTTGCGACTAACATTATATATTAATTACATGGACTGTCTTCGAGTTTGTATAATTAGTCACGTTTGTATATGTGTAATTCGCTAGGATATATAAATACATATGTATAATATACAATTATTTAACCTATATACATATATAATTCACCTCTCTCTCACTCTCTCGCTCGCCTCTCTCCTCCCTTTCTCGCTCTCCTCTCTCTTCCCTCTCCCAATCTCGCTTGCCAATATACATATGTATATGTATAATATATAATTATATACATATATAATTCACCTCTTTCCCACTCTCTGCCCTCTCTCGCTCGCCTCTCTTGATCTCGCTCGCCTCTCTCCTCACTCTCCCAGTCTCACTCACCTCTCTCCTCTCTCTCCCAATCTCTCTACCATATATACAAATACATATGTATAATATACGATTATCTAACCAATATACATATATAATACACCTTTCCCCCCTCTCTCTCGCCTCTCTCCTCTCTCTCCAGTCTCGCTCGTCTCTTTCTTTTATATAACATGTAGCTACAAATTGTAATTATCTATATAATGGAGATTAATTAATTATTTTTAAGTGACCATACGCGAAAGGTTCCGATTTATAATCAATAATGATGGCCAAAGGGTGCCCCTCCTAATTCCTTAGAACACTCAAGTTTAGTTTTATCCAATTAAAATACAATTTCATTTTGAAAGTAAAATCTGTTAGACTTTTACAGTTTATAATTCAACATGTGTAATAAATGATTTTGTAAACTTGGAACTGTTTATAATAACATAGATGATTTTTCTCTCAAAGAAAAAATGACATAGATAAATTAAAATTTGAAAGAATATCATCAATGAGCTTTTATCAAAGTTCAATATCATATTTGAATTTTCCTCTTTTATAATGAACTAAATAATATAGTATTCATATCCTTATAACATAATTCTTAGCTATTTTGTAATCGTCAAATCATGATTAGCTGTAAAAAAATCTGATAATAAAGAATAACAACGGTCAACTAACTATATTTTATATAATTGGATGACCATATTTTGTATATATTATTTGCTCAGATCGAATCTCTAAATTATTTTTCTAATATAAAGTTTGACTAAAAAAATTTGATCATACAAGACCGTTGATATCTAGTACACCCCCATTAAGTTACATGCCAAAATAGTTACTATCGACGATTTAGTATTATCTTATTCAAACTATTAAAAAATTTACAAAATCTAAATTTTCCCTATATATAGTAGTCAATCTAAACAAAAAAACCACCACAACAATAACATAGTCATTTGATCCCTCCCAAACAAACACATTTCTCCTTCTCTTTAGCCATGGTAGAAATAAAGTTAAATTTATTTTTGTTGAAAATAAATTGACAAAGAAGTTTCGTAAAAAAAAAAGAAGATAGAAAGAGTACTTGAAAAGGACATGCTTTGTAGTATTGAAATGACTATAATAATCTATACTCCTTACCACAAAGCATGCTAAGTTCTTGAGTCTTTTTCATGAACATATTCTGTTTTTTTTTTACGAGTCTTTCTTATCAGATTTATTTTTAATAAAAGTAAATTTAACTTTCTTTCTAGCTATGACTAAAGAGAAATGTTTTTTTTTAATGTGAATCAAATGGTTATGTTATCGAGTACTTCCTTAATTAGGTTTTGACTCCTATTTAGGCTTCTTGTTTTTTTCTTTTACAATTTTTTCCTCTAGTGGTTTCATAATTGTATTTGGCTTGGTAAAGGTAGTATAATCATCATGCTATTGTAATATATATTAACATTTTCATATAATCAATGTATTTTGATATCATTTGTGTTTAGGTGATTACACCTTAATCTTGTGTTATGATTTCTTGTTGTCACAATCGTGATCTATCGTGCATAGCTTTCATGATTAAAAATCCCCCCTCCCCCACAGAATTGGAATTCGTGTATTGAAAAATTTAAATATTTTAAAAATAAAAACGTAACTTTGAAATAAATATAGTTTTAGATTTAAAGAATGAATGAGAAGAAAGGAGAAACCCATAATAGCTCAAAGCAAACAACTCACCCTTAGATTTAGAAAACGCTAGTATTACAATTGTGGTCGCAAAACAATCGTCGAAATATGTTCTATATTCTATAGAAAAGAGTAAGTATAGTATTAATGGACAAAATTCACAAGTAGAATCATTGGTCAGTTTCAATTATATACAATATGAACATATAACCAGAACTTGATAAAACAGATAACATACAATTATAGCCACAATCGTAAACATAACCCGAATTTCCAGTCCTCACCCTCAATTGACATTTATAATAAACACGAACAACTTCGTTACAACAAGTCAAATCGATATCATATCAACATGAATTTTTTTTTAATTTTTTAGAAAAATTCAGTAAAAAATTATAATTTATAATACTTTTTTTTTTATAATTTTTGAATATCTAAATTTTATTTTAAAATATCAAATAAATATAATCCATTTTCTCTTTAATTTATTCTTGTTACTTAACTAGTCATTTTCCAAAAAAATTATTATTCTATTTATTTCTTTTCCAGGTGCATCAAATATTAGTCAAACAATTAATTCTTAACTTCTAGACAAGAAAAGAAAAAAAAGGGAAATAACCTGAACTTAATATAAACTATTTACTAACTAAATTTAAATACACCCTTAATAAATCGTATTGCATAGTAAATAGTTTCACACCCTTGTTAAAATATGAGACTCTTAAAAGAAATATTAAAAATAACCTTAAACTAAATGTGAATTTAGTGATGTATTACATTTCATATTGTAAAATTGAATATATATAAATTTGATTAATTAAATTGAAAAGTATTTTTAAGACATTCAACGGTGCGACGATAAATCTAATAATTTTGCGCGAGTTAAAATGTCCTTTTTGTTCCCATCATGTCACAGTGAAAAATGCGGCGCCACCAATAATTGGACGATCCATACTGACACGTGTCGAATAATTATTGGTTGCCTCTTCCGCCTCCAAATCATGACTTGTGACTCTTCATCTTAATCCTTTGAAAAACTTTTTCTATTAAATTTTATCCAAATTCGGTTTAGTTTTGATTCGATTTGTCTAATTTTTCCTTTTTGTTGGTTTGATTTATCGAAATGGATCGATTTGATTCATTTCGAGATGCCAATTGGGACCTAATTGATTTCAATAGCTTTATAGATGAAGAATCGCCGATAGATTTCTTTTGGAACGATCAAACCCAGGATTTGAGGTATTTTTATTCATATCTAAACCTTTGTTTTTATAATTTGATGGTAAAAATTTAATCTTTTTTATCTGTTTTTAAGCTATGCTTGTTAGATTTAATGTTTGTGCTGATTAATATTGTATAGCGATAATAACATATCCAGTGTAATTTTATAAGTGGAATGTAGGATAGGGTAGAATGTGTGCAGGTGTTACCATACCTTTGTGGTATAGCGAAGCTGTTTCTAATAGATTTTTTGATTCAAAAGTGTAATTTTCAAGTTTATACAATGCAATAACATATTCAATGTGATTTCATGAGTGAGGTTTGAGGAGAGTAGTGGGTAGGGAGGTTATTTCTGATAAATGCTCGGCTCAAAAGTATAATTTTTAAGTTATATACAATGATAACAACATATTTAGTGTAATTTTCAAGTTTATACAATGACAATGACAATGACATATGCCGTGTAATTTCATAAGTGGGGTTTGGGAAGGGTAGAATGTACTCAAACCTTACTCTACATTTGGGGTAGAGAGGCTGTTTCTGATACACTCGATTCAAGAGTGTAATTTTCATGTTTATATAACAACGACATACCTAGTGTAATTCCGTCTGGGGAGGGTAGGATGTATGCAAATCTTACTCTACCTCTTTGTTGGGGTAGAGAGTTGTTTCTAATAGACTCTTGGCTCAAAAATATGATATTCAAGTTTATCGTGTAAAATATGTGATCCTTTTTACAGGCATTAACATATGTTAATTCAATTTATCTCTTCATACAGCTTGATTTTGGTGGGCCTTTTTTAATTGAATTGAGATGGCTTAATAATCTGTCCTGATTTTTTCATATGCTTTTTTATGTTGGTGAGTTCTCTTGTTGATTAGGTTTATCACTTACTACAGCTTAATCTTGGTGGATTTGTTTCCTTAATGTTATTTAAGAGAACCTTTCATGCATGTTAATTGATCTTGCTAGTCTAGATTCAAATAAATCTTATATTTACAAGTTTTTGCATGTCATGATATATATTTCATATTATCTCGAGATGCCAGATTATTTGCTTCTTGTAGTTTCTTATGTTTTCATATGCTTGGTGTAATGCTCATTTAGGTGTAACTTCCGAGCCTACTTTTCTCTGCTTTTCTGCTAGGGCTGCATCTTTTTCTATCTTTTGAGTGGTTAAATTGTTAAGAGTGTTTGTTCAGTATGATCTGATGCATTCTTATGGTCGATGTTAGATTAAGGAAGCTGGGAGGGAGAGAGAGGTGAAAAATGATTTCTTTTTTTTTCTTGGTTAGAATTAAGGTTGTCTAGTAGAATGCTTCAGGATATAGGTAAAAGTACTGGATTAGTGTATGATCATATTAGGTACCTTTCCATTTAATCATGATGTGGAGAACTAGAAAAGCTTTTTACTTTTGAAACTGCTCGAACAAAAAGCTTGATTAGATCATGAG